AGAATCTACTGTTCTCAAAGAGATAACAACTTTTTGAAAATTCTGGTGTGTGATGTTGAGAGGCTAAGAGCAGAGAAAATATTCTTTGAGGAAGAGAGATGAAAGATGGTGTCAAAGGTGACTTTGGTAAACCAGTTGTCATTGGCACCAATTCAAGTTCCAAACACTACGAGAATGAAAAATGGTTTTGTAATGAGGCTAAACAGCCTTGAACTGGGTGTTCAGGCCTGAAGAATCAGGTATACTCCTTTCCTAGTCTTCTAGGGTGACCATTATAGATCTGGTCCATCCTCAGGCAAATGAGGACTCCAGATCCTTACAGTTTGGTTGTTCCAAAAAATATTATCCTGATTAGTCAGAGTGGAGCCTCTCTGATTAGTTGGTAAAGGTGCTAATGAGCATACAGCTACACAGCTCTGATTGGCCAGGGAAAAGTTCAGTCCTATGGTTGAAATATGATCCCAGGAACTCATTTATAAGGGTTGGCTCAGTCTGAAAAAACACAGTGTCGGTAGGCAGTTCAGTGCAAATGGCAGATGACTTTTGTGAGAGACCCATGTTTAGAAACAGCTGCTAAGTTCTGTTTTTAAATTTGAGAGCAGTTAGCCACCAGGAGTCCTTGGTAGGTATGTTCTTCCTCAGGGTCAACAGCTCTGAGCTGGAAAAGTTAGCTTTAAGGCATCAGGAAACTCATTTATGATGAAAGTGCTCAGCAAAGTGGCAATAGAGGGAGCATATTTCAACATAATAAAGGCCATACATGACAAACGCACAGAAAACATCATACTCGAGAAGGGTGGCATTTCTCTTAAGATTAGGAACAAGGCAGGGATGTTCACTTTCCCCACTCTTATTCAACATATTACTGGAAGTCCTAGCCACAGCAATCAGACAAGAAAAAGAAATAAAAGGCATCCACATGGGAAAGGAAGAAGTAAAACTGTCATTATTTGCAGATGGCATGACACTGTACATAGAGAACCCTAAAGATTCCACCAAAAACCTACTGGAACTGATAAACAAATTCAGTAAAGTGGCAGGATACAAAATAAACATCCAGAAGTTGGTCGCATTTTTATACATCAATAATGAACTATCAGAAAGGGAAACTGAGACAATAACCCCATTTACAATTGCAGCAAAGATAAAACAAAATACCTAGGAGCAAGTTTAACCAAGGAGGTAAAACTTGCATTTGGAAAATTGTAAGACACTGAAGAAAAAAATTGAAGAAGATACAAATAAATGGAAGCACACACCATGCTCATGGATAAGAAGACTTAACATTGTTAAAATATTCACACTACCTACAGCAATCTATAGATTCAACACAGTTCCTATAAAAATAGCAATGACTTATTTCACAGAACTAGACCAAAATAATCCAAAAATTTATATGGAACCACAAAATATCCCTAATAGCCACCACAGTCTAAAAAAGAAGAACAAAGTTGGAGGTGTCACCTTACCTGATATCAAACAAGGCTATAGTAATCAAAACAGCAGGGTGCTGGCATAAAAACAGACATATAGTTTGATGTAGTTCCATTTGTTTATATTTTCCTTTGTTTCTCTTGCCCTAAGTGATGTATCACTGAAAATTCTGCTACATGAGATGTCTGATATTTTGCTGCCTATGTTTTCTTCTAGGACTTTTATGGTTTCACGACTTACATTTAAGTCTTCTATCCATTTTGAGTTTATTCTTGTGTATGGTGTAAGTTGGTGATCTAGTTTCATTTTTTTTCATGCACCTGTCAAATTTTCCCAACACCATTTATTGAAGAGATTGTCTTTACTCCATTGTATGTCCTTGTATAGCAAAAGAAACCAGAATCAAAATGAAAAGGGAACCCACTATGGGAGAACATATTTGCCAATGATACATATGATAAAAGGTTAATTTCCAAAATATATAAAGTACTCATACAACTCAATAAAAGGAAGACAAATAATCCAATTTAAGTGGGCAGAGGACCTGAATAGATATTTCTCCAAAGAGGACATACAAATAGCCAAGAGACATGAAAAATGTTCAACATCACTAATCAGAGAGATGCAAATTAAAACAACAATGAGGTACCACCTCACACCTACCAGAATGGTTACCATCAATAAATAAACAAATAACAAGTGCTGGTGAGGATGTGGAGAAAAAGGAACCCTAGTACAATGCTGGTAAGAATGCAGACCGGAGCAGCCACTATGGAAAACAGTGTGGAGTTTCCTCAAAAAATTTAAAATGAAACTGGCATATAATCCACTGATCCCACTTCTAGGAATATATCCTTAGACTCCTGAAACACCAATCAGAAAGAATATATGCACCCCTATGTTCATAGCAGTGTTATTTATAATAGCTAAGATCTGGAAACAGCTCAAGTGCCCATCAGCAGATCAATGTATAAAAATGCTTGGTACATTTACACAATGGAATAGTATGCAGCTGTAAAAAAGAAGGCTCTCTTACCCTTTGAGACAGCATGGAAGGACCTGGAGAATATTATGCTAAGTTAAATAAGCCAGTCAGAGAAAGACAAATATCACATGATCGCACTTATATGTGGAATCTACTGAACACAATAAACTGATGAATAAAATAGAACCAGAGGCATGGAAACATGGAACAGACTTATGAATCTCAGGGGGAAGGGGTGGTGGGAGGGTGGGAAGAGATTAACAAAAGAACTTATATGCATATATACATTGCCCACGGACACAGATGATAGGGTGGTGAAAATCTGGGGCCAGGTGGGAGTCAGGTAGTGGGGGGGCGGAGGGAAAAAGGGGGAACATCTGTAATACTCTCAAAAGTAAAGATTAAAAACAAAACAAATAAAAACAGACATATAGATCAATGGGGCAGAATAAAGAGCCCAGAATAACCTCAAGCCTGTATGATCAATTAATTGACAAAGGAGATAAGAACATACAATGGGGTAAACACAGTTTATTTAATAAATGGTGTTGGGAAAATTGGACAGATAAATGCAAAAACAATGAAACTAAACCACCTTCTTACATCATATACAAGAAGAAACTCAAAATGGGTTAAAGATTTAAACGTAAAACTCCTAGAAGAAAACAGAGGCATAAGATTTTGGACATTTCTTAGTAATATTTTTTCTCATATATCTTCTTGGGCAAGGGAAGCAAAAGAAAAAATAAAAATATGTGACTACATCAAAATAAAAAAAAAAAAATTTCCACAGCAAAGAAACCATCAACAAAGGAAAAAGACAACCCATTGAATAGGAGATGATTTTTGCCAATGATACATCAGATAAGGGGTTAATATCTAAAATTTATAGAGAACTCATACAACTCAACACCAAAAAACAAAGAATCCAGTTAAAAAAAATGCATAAAAGACCCGAATAGACACTTTTCCAAAGAGGACATGCAAATGGCAAAAGATATGAAAAGGTGCTCCACGTCACTAATCATTGGAGAAATGTAAATTAAAATCACAATGATATATCACCTCACACCTGCCAAAATGGATTTCATCAATAAATAAACAAGTGTTGGCAAGGATGTGGAGAAAATGGAACCCTTGTGCAATGATGGTGGGAATGCAGATTGGTGTAACCACTATGGAAAACAATATAGAAGTTTCTCCAAAAATTAAATTGTATTTCTAGGTATATTTCCTAAGAAACCCAAACACTAATTTGGAGGAATAGATGCACCCCTAAATTAACTGCATCATTATTTACAATAGTCAAGCTATGGAAGCAACCAAGTGTCCATCAATAGATGAGTAGATAAAAAAGTGGTGGTATGTATATACAGTGGAATATTACTCAGCCATAAAAATAAATGAAATATTTCCATTTTGGGATAGCATGGATGGACCTAGAAGGTATTATGCCAAGTGAAATAAGCCAGACAGTGAAAGACAAATACCATATGATTTCATTTATATGTGGAATCTAAAGAACAATATAAACCAACCAACAAAACAGTAACAGACTCAACAGAACATACTGATGGTTGCCAGAGGGAAGGGGTAGGGGTTGGGGAACTGGATGAAAAAGGGGAAAGGATTGAGAAGTACATATTGGTTGTTACAAAGTAGTCAAGGGGATGTAAAGTACAGTCAATAATATTTTAATAACAATGTATGGTGCCCTACTGGAAATATTGTGTGTGGGGGGACACTTTTTAAATTATATGATTGTCTAACCACTATGCTGTACACCTGAAAGTAATACAAAATAATATTGAATTATACTGTAATAGAAAAATAAATAAATAAAAATTTGAAAGAAGACATCAGGAAAAAGCAGCAAGAGGAGAGGGAGAGACCAGGCCACACCACTAAAAATTTCTTGGGGAAGGAAGGGGAGTGTTTGGAGCATGGGTAAATTTGAGCAAAAACTGAATGAATCTTCTTTGCGTGATTGATGAGTTTCTCTGCATAGGTTCTCAATGTGAGAAATAAATTATGTCAGGTATTTACATGTAAAGAAAACCGAACATACATACACGAAAAATCCTTGCCTTTGAGTTCATTCTTTTATGGACTAGTACAGTGTTGTTGTTGTTTTTGTTTTCCAATGAGAACAGAACTAGAAGAATCCAATTTAAATGATAGAGATGGAGATTTAGGCCACTCCCAAGAGGACAACTTCTTACCCTGTTAGGAGACACTGGGGGACAATACTGAGATGGGTTATGAAAGACAAATTCCCCCAGAGAGCTCTAATAATAGGATCAAAGTTGGCCTAGCACAATCTGCAGCTGCTTGATTACGCTGAGCCTAGGTTTGTTTTCCAGAAGGCAGTGGGCTAGATCCGACGGCCTTTCATTCCCTAGCAGCGCCCTTGTGTTCCCGTCAGGTGCTGGGAGGAGCTGGTGCCGAGAGGAACAGAAGCGGGAAGGGACCCAGCAGGGTTACCTGTGAGTGTTGTGGCCCCTTTAAGAGTGGCTGGGGCGGTGGCGAGGGAGCGAGCTCAGCCGGCTTCCTTGGGGCCCCGCCCCCTTCCCGTGAGCCCTAGGGGAGTGGTCGGACCGTGGGCAGCGACGGGTGAGAAGCGGGGTGGGGGGCGGGGGGCAATCATGGCTCTGCGCGGCTGGCAGCGTTCGACCCTCCGCCGCGGTGTTGATGGCAGCGGCCCCCAGGCCCTTCTCACGCGGCCGCTCTGGTTGCTCCTTGCACTGGGCGTCTTTGGCTGGGCCGGAGCTATGGACGGCGAAGGCGGAGCATCGAGAGCCATGGACGAGGAGATCGTGTCTGAGAAGCAAGCTGAGGAGAGCCACCGGCAGGATAGTGCCAATCTGCTTATCTTCATCTTGCTGCTTACCCTCACCATTCTCACGATCTGGCTCTTCAAGCACCGCCGGGCCCGCTTCCTGCACGAAACCGGCCTGGCTATGATTTATGGCAAGTGCCTCCGCTCCTGGCGTACCCTGACCTCCGCCCGCCAGCCGCTTGGTCTCCTCTCTTGGCTCTGCTGGGCCTACGTTGAGTTCTCCCGATTCCTTCCATTTTTCGTCTCTCCCCCTCCCCCACCGCTGTTTCTCTTCCGCGCCCCCCTATTTTCTGCTATGCCCCCTGTTTCTCTGCCTCACCCAATTTCCTTCTTAGCCTTAAACCCCATTTTGCCTGCCTCTCATCGCCCTTTTCTTTGCCTATCCACACCTTTTTTCCCCTCCAACCCCACCCCCTTTTTCTTCTGCACCCCCCTGCCTCTGCCTTCCAAGGTTGGGACCCGGGACTGAAGACGGGAAGGGAGTGGGTGCGGTGTCTCCAGTTGAGCTGGTGACTGGGAGAAGGGAAGACAGCCTAGCGATCCTTTTCTCTGGGGTGTCAGTTTGTTAGGGTCCATTGAAACTGCAGCAGTATCTCTACTGTTCAGAACCTGGCGTTCTTTTGGTGCCAGAGTCCACCTTTACCCATCACCCAGTTCTTGCTATGCCTTGTCCTTTCGTGGTGGAGAATGAAGATCTTACTCCCCTGTAGCCAAGTAGAAACCGGTACTCGAAAGAAACCTAAGAAGGCTTGGGCATTTTAATAACGTTGTGAGGCACTGTACTGTTTGTAAAATCTGATATGCATATACGTATGGTTGACACTTTAAATTCAAGCGTACGGAGGAGAGGACAAGGAAGAGTTAAAAATCTTCCAGCAGTCTGTTGTACTATATGACAATAAGGACAGTTTACCAAGCAGTAATTAGGAACACCATAGATATGCAGTATGAATTGCTGGTGGCATAGGTTATTGACAGATCATTGAGTAAATGGCTTCAGTTCTTCTGTCTTGTTGTGCTTTCTTTTTTAAGGTTATTTATTTATATTTTTTGGTCATGAGAGGAGATGGGCAAATCAAACCATGGGCTCAGAGCCATTTTGGCCTATGCTGGGGCCTCATGAGAGGAAAAGATGCATATTGCTGACTGTTTTAATCTAAAGATGCCTATGAGGGTGTATATGGCTGAAGAGATTCTGGAAGACAGTTCTTTCTGTGCAGTCTATGGGTGAAGATTATCTTTATTTGGAACAGGCTTAAACTGATGAGCTTGTTGAGCTTTGTTTCTCAAACTTACAGATAGGTAGAAGAAGCCTTGGCACGAAAAGACATTTCCCCATGCACCCCACCCCCACCCACACACACCTCTTTCAAGTAAATACAGACTTCTGGAATGTGCATCTCAAGGGTACAAGGAAAGATAGTTGTGGGCATCAAGAAAATGGGTGAACTCAGGCTTATTTTCCATTTTTAAGGCAATACAATTATAAGTCTATGTGCAAAATATCTCTGTTTCTTAATATTCTTAATTTTTAGACATCTCAGATGGTTTTCATATTTCATTTTTTTTGCATTTTATTTGTAGCACTCCTTAAGCTAAATTGGCCAGATAAGCTATGTGCATCTCTATATAATTACTCTGAAAAACAGTGTGTGATTTATTTACTATCCTCAACAAACATTTGCTAATCAGCCTACTATGTTTTATGCACAGAAAATACAAAGAAATATAAGATCCCTGACTCCAAGGAACTTATCCTTCTTGTTTAGACAAGTCATATAAAGAAAATAATCACATCTTAAATTTGGTTAAAAGATAAGTGAGTATTATGGTATTAAAATAAGAAACTCATCATAGAAACCTCTTTCTGGTAGAGGGAGATAGTATTACATAGTGATTAAAGGTGCAAAGCTTTAGATCAGAGGTCTGCAATTGTTTTTTCTGTAAAGGGCCAAATAGTAAGTATTACCAACACTGTGGGTCACATAGGTCTCTGTTGCATTTTCTTCTTCTTCTTTTTTTTTTTTTTTTACAAACCTTTAAGAACGTAAAAATCATTCTTAGCTCTTAAAATAGACTGGCACCTTATTTGCCAACCCCTGTTTTAGAGTCAGACCTGAGTTCCTATCCCACTGTTCCAATAGCACTGTGTGATCTTAGGCAAGTCCCTTATCCTCTTACACTGTTATCTATAAATTGGGAACCAAGATAGTAGGATTATTGTGAGAAAGAAATGGTTTTAGCTTAGTACCTGACTCCTAGGTAAGTGCTCAATAAATAATAGCTGTGATACTATTATTATTGCTATTATAACTGCATTTTCTCAGGTTAGACTCAGAACAGGTCTTTTAATTGCTCAGTGTTGTAAGTTAAGAGGCAAACAGTATTTTTAAAGAAATAAAATAGAGACTTATAATTGCCCTGAGCATATTTGCTCTTTGGTAGTTGATATCATTAACCTCATCTACTTTTTGGACTGAAGTTGAAAAGTGGGGTTACTAATTGCATTTCCTGATGTTTCTAAGTTAATAAAAACAATGGGGCACCTTAGTGTTAGGATTTTATGAAGGAAAAACAAGAGTAGCTCTTGTGGAATATAAAGTGGAAGAGTGGTTAATTCGCCACAACTTGGCATTCTTTAGCCTGCCCCTTCTTTCTTAGTATGGGCTGTGGGGGCCGTGGACCAACAGCCTCCTGACTAACTCCCAAGTCCAGATTGAGACTAGATGGGATTGAGACAAAGTACCATGGAATGTCAATGCCATGGAAATTGACATTTTCTAATCCTAATTACTGTCTGCCATTTTCTTATGACCCTTATACCACTCTGGCTATTATGGTAATATATGATTTTAATACCTTTAATTTTCAACTTGACTTTCAGGTGAAAGGGCTTCTTACTCTGGGAATGTCCAGACCTCTAAGATTCAGCCCACTGATGATTTTATTTCTGTGATGTCTGTTTAGCTACCTAAATCCTGGGGAAATGCTCCCCCCCATAACGTATATTTATTTTATTTTTTATAATGTTTATTTATTTATGTTATAGATCTTCCTCTTTTTCCCCCCATTGACACCCTCCTCCCAGCCCCACCCCCCAACATTATTGTCTATGTGTCCTTATTTACGCATACATGAATGTAAGTTCTGTGGTTTATCTCTTCTCTCCCCCCATGCTCACCTCTTCTGAGGTTTGTCAGTCTGTTCCCCACTTCCATGTCTCCGGGTCTATTTTGTTCCTCAGCTTGTTTTGTTCATTATAGTCCGCAAATAAGTGAACTCATGTGATAATTGTCTTTCTCTGATTGGCTTGTTTCGCTTAGCATAATACTCTCCAGGTCCCTCCATCTCAAAGGATAAGAGAACTTTTCTGTCTTACAGCTGCATAGTATTCCATTGTATGTAAGTACCTCAGCTTTTTTATCCACTCATCTATCTATTCATGGACACTTGGGCTGTTTCCAGATCTTACCATGTAAATATTGCTGCTATGAACATGGGGGTACATATATTCTTTCTGATTGGTGTTTCAGGCTTCTTAGGGTATATTCCTAGAAGTGGGATCACTGGATCAAATGGCAATTCAATTTTTAATTTTTTGAGGAAACACCATATTGTTTTCCATAGTGGCTGCAACAGTCTGCATTTTCACCAGCAGAGTACTAGAGTCCCCTTTTCTTCACACCCTCCCCAGCACTTGTTTGATGTTTTGTTGATGGCAGCCATTCTGGCAGGTATGAGGTGATACCTCGTAGTCCTTTTAATTTGCATCTCTCTGATGATTAGTGACATCGAGCATTTTTCATATTGTCTCTTGGCCATTTGTATGTCCTGTTTGGAGAGGTGTCTATTTCGGTCCTTGGCCAATTTTTTTTTTTTTTAATCCTCACCCGAGGATATTTTCCTTTTTTTTTTTTTTTTTTTGTACAGATAGAGTGGGAGGGAGAGAGAGAGGAAGGGAGAGAGAGAGAGAAACATCGACGTGAAGGGACACATCGAGTGGCTGCCACCCGCACGACCAACCAGGGCCGGGGACAAACTGCAACCGAAGCACGAGCCCTTAGCGGGAACCGAACCCGGGTCTCTCCGGACCGCAGGCCGACGCTCTAACCACTGAGCCAAACCAGCCAGGGCCCATTTTTTAATTGGGTTCTCTGTCTTCCTTTTGTTGAGTTGTATGAGTACTCTGTATATTATGGAAATTAGCCCCTTATCGAATGTATCACTGGCAGTTATGCTCTCCCATATAGTGGGTTCCCTTTCCATTTTGATGGTTTGCTGTGCAGAAGCTTTTGAGTTTGATGTAGTCCCATGTGTTCATTTTTCCCTTTGTTTCTATTGCCTTAGGCATTGTATCAGTGAAAATTCTGCTGTGTGTGATGTCTGAAATTTTGTTGCCTGCATTTTCTTCTAGGATTTTTATGGATTCATTAGTCACATTTAAGTATTTTATCCATTTTTAGTTTATTCTTGTGTATGAAGTTGGTGGTCTAGCTTCATTTTTTTGCATGTAGCTGTCCAATTTTCCCAACACCATTTATTGAAGAGACTGTTTTAACTCCATTGTTTGCTCTTTCCACCTTTGTCAAATATTAATTGAGCATATTGTGTTGGATCAATTTCTTGGTTCTTTGTTCTGTTCCATTGATCTGTATGCCTCTTCTTGTGCCGGTACCAGGCTTGTATTGATTACTGTGACTTTGTAGTATAACCTGATATCCGGTATTGCAATCCCTCCTAGTTTGTTCTTTTCCAAGATTGCTCTAGCTATTCAGGGTCTTTTTTGGTTCCATATAAACTTTTGGAGTATTGTTCCAGTTCTGTGAAATATGTCGTTGGTATTTTGATGGGGATTGCATTGAATCTGTAGATCGCTTTGGGTAGTATGGACATTTTAATGATGTTAATTCTTCCAATCCAAGAACAAGTTATATACTGCCACTTTTTTTATATACTCCTCTATTTCTTTTTTTAGTTACCCGTAGTTTTCTGTGAACAGGTTCTTTACTTCTTTAGTTAAGTTTATTCCTAGGTATTTTAATTTTTTCACCGCAATGGTAAATAGGATTGATTTTTTAGTTTCTCTTTTAGTGAGTTCGTCGTCGGTGTACAAGAATACCATCGATTTTGT